GCATGTGCTATATGCAGGTCTACAAGTATCATTCATTAATCACAACCTTTCAAAAAAAATCATGTCCGGAGTGATTTGGTGTAATCTTTTCTTTTTCCCCACCAACAGTCTACAAATTACACAAGATATACTGAATTCCTGAAACCTCCAAAAGTGGAAGGGAGAAGTGGTTAAATAATCATACCAGCTAATCCCTAAAAATACAATAAAAAAATGTAACTAAATACAGATATATGTTAAGTAACACTTTAATATATCTTTTATCACTTCTTCCTAATCATTAACCACTGTAATGGCTTCCATGTCATCAGCTTTAAATAAAAAAAAAAAAAAAAAAAAAATTGCATGTTTTCCATCATTCTTTGTGTAATTAGCCAACACATATAGCAAAAGAGGGATAATTATAACAAAGTTACACCTACGATTTATGGCAAATCTTGAATGTTGTTCAAGTGATTTACAACACAAGTAATCTGACAAAGGGATTAGTAACAGAACTCCAGTAGAGAGCTTAACCCACTTGCAACTGTACATCTATAAGCCGAAAATAATATTTTCCAGGCGGCTTAAAAATCGGCACGCAGGCAAGTCTGGCAACCTGCTCACACGCTGGACGCCAAGGGCGACAAAATCAAAGCGCGAGCTCCAATCTGGCATCACACCAGTGGGACACCCGGCTATGTTTACTTTTTCGGGTGTCTCATATGACGGACACCCATCATAAGTGGGTTAAAGTGACCATCTGATTTATTTTATTTTATATTTATTTATTTATTTTATTTTATTATTATTATTTTTTTTAGATTTTTCTTGCCAATTTTGATGAAACTCACACCTTTCTATTTAGATCTAAGAATGCCCAAAAAGTTTTAGAGTAATAGTAAAAAAAAAAAAAACATACTAAGTTTCCATTTTGAAAATTTGTTTCAAAAATTATACAAAATCCAGAAAAAAAAAAAAAAAAAAAAAAAAAAAAAAAAAAAAAAAAAAAAAAAAGAGGCATTCTGATGTGATTTTTTAATAGATCAATCCTAAATCTAGTGCTTGTGTCACGCACTTTTTACAATTTCATCATTTTTACAAGAACAGGAAAAAACTGTAAAAAACTGTAATAAACAATATGATACAAGCACTACATTTATCATTCAGCTGCCAAAATTGAAGCCATAAAAAAGTTTTATTCGGAC